TAGCAGCACGTAGAAGTCATGAGCATCACCTTGCGTTGTTTGTGTTTAATTATACTCAAGGCTATATATGGGGATATAGTAGGCCAGCAGTGTAATTGTTCCTCCTTAGCACCGTACTTACGGTATTGAGGTCCCGACCCACCCGGGAGGGGGGAGAGAACGGGGTGCAAGAGTTGTTGGAGGCGTTGGGGTAGAACAATCTGACTGGAAGACGTGTGCATGAGAAGAATAACAAAAAATACTGTTTCTTACCAATACTACCTAACCTACTCAGATGCGAAAGAGACAGAGAAGACTACCTAGGACTGCGAAGGGACGCTAGTACGGGTGCAGGAACTAATAGAATGCGAAGGGCGACGACTAAAAACTAAGTGCGATTATGGGAAGACTAAAATAGGGATGATGACAAGGTACGACTGAGCTACGGTGCCGGAAACCTAACTAGGATGCGAAGGGACGACTATTGCTAGGTGCAGGATTCCTATCTAGGATGGTCGACCTGCCTGCTCTGACATTTATGACATGTCTCCCTAAATCCCGTACCTTGTTGATTTTTTAACTTTCCTCGGCGCGCATGCGCAGCGAGGGTTACTGTAGTCGTTTTGTCTGTGTGCGTGTGTGTGTCGACGCTTATTCTGGTACTACGAGGCGGCCTATTAGCGATACCGGCGGTTTCAGTACTACACGAGCCTGAAAAATAAAAGGGCGATTTTCCTAGCGTTCGAGAGATTTGCCGCGAAAACAGCGAAAACGCCAATATGCATAATCGCGCTGGCATACCTCCAACTGATCGGCCGACCCGCGTACCTTGGAGGCACAAGAAGTTACAACAGAGGGCGTGTATCAACTCCCGCATGCAGTATACTAGTGTAGCTATCCCGTGTCAGACTCTCCGTGCAGGGAGACCACTGAATAGCGCCTAGACCCATCCCACCATTAGCGATACCGCGCCTGCGTAATACGCCGAGGGTTTGCACCTTTTCAGTGCACAATGAGAGATCAGTTCCTACACAAAGAGAACACAGTGAGAGAGGCTCAGGAAGGAGTAAATTGCGGACCTACCGACATATATAGACGAAAGAAACATCAAAGCTCCGACCGCCACATCCAAATGCACTTCTGATGCGTGGGTGGTTTTTGCGAGATAATGCCGCCATGCCGCCCGCCTACCGGGCCAGAATTCAAATTTACGTTTATGCCAGAAAGTGTTAATTTCGTATTTCCCGCGTCTCGCACGCGAACTTACGCGAATCATAATGCGCACGCGCATATTTTTGCCAGGCAATGCGTAAACACTCCGACTGAGGCCGCGTGCGCGCGCTCTACTGACTGCGCGCGAAGCCAGACTTCCTACGAATCTGCGCGCACGGCGGAAGCTACTTCCTAGGAATGACGAAAGTTGACATTCCTAATCGTGACTAATTGACATTCTTAAGCGTGACGACACGTACGTACGTGCGCATAACGCGAGAATACATCCCGGAGTATATAGTTGCCTCACACTAACGCGCTCGGCAATAATACTAGTAGGCGAATGCATGGCATTTTTGGCGAGCGGAAGCGAGCACAAATGGGGTCTAATCGTATGAGTCACTCTTGTGTGTGCACAAAACAGTGCGATACATTGCACAGGACCAAGTAGGCCGAAACAACCTTTTCGACCCGAGCGCAGTAGACAATTCTAGTCGAGTCAAAAAGAGTCAGACTACAGCGCGAATCAGGCATAATCCGGCAATCTGATGTATATATGCACAATATGACATGGAAGAAGTGTGCATGAGAAGATATACAAAAAAGAAATGTTCCTTACCAACCTAACCTAACCTAACTAAGATGCGAAGAGACGACTAACTAGGATGCGAAGGGACGACTAGCTACGGTGCAGGAACCTAACTAGGATGCGAAGGGACGACTAGCTACGGTGCAGGAACCTAACTAGGATGCGAAGGGACGACTAGCTACGGTGCAGGAACCTAACTAGGATGCGAAGGGACGACTAACTAGGATGCGAAGGGACGACTAACTAGGATGCGAAGGGACGACTAGCTACGGTGCAGGAACCTAACTAGGATGCGAAGGGACGACTAACTAAGATGCGAAGGGACGACTAGCTATACGGTGCGATTAAGGGCCACCTACGATAAACACAGTGAGGTTAATAAAAAAAAACACAACTTTTAAGAAAAAAAACTTATCTTCAATGGGGAAATACAGTGCAGTTGGGCAGTTGTTGAAGATGTAGTGGCTTCTTCTGTGGTAAAACCACTCATACATGTTAAGGTAAATACCAGTTGTTGATACTTACCATGCGGTTGGTTAAATGGTGGTAGATGTAAAGTACTGAGTGGTGGATGGCTGTAGAGAGAGAAGCCGCTGGTCTTCTTCTTGTCTGTCCTTGAGACGACTGCTGTTTGAGAGGCTGGAGAGCCGCTGGTAAGGAAATGGCGGCGTAAAGAGCAAGTCTTGGAGGCAACGGACACGAGAGCAGGCAACAAATGTTAGGCCTGTGGAGAACTCTCTCTTATTATTATTATTATTATATGCTTTACAACACAGTTATTACAAGGACGATGTAAAGAAAGTGGTAATGAGAATAATTATAAAGACTGTGTTGAGGGACTGCAGGCAAAGAGCCAGCATCCGAGAAAACAAAACCAACACACAAATACATACATTAGTGTATTATAATGAATTACTGCTAAAGTGCATGTTGACAGGTAGTGAAGAGCATTTGTAACACAGACATAAATAGTGATAGGAGCATTCGTCATTGGGATTGAAATGGGAGATGAAATGGTCCCAGAAGTAATTGTGAAGTTTGGATTTGATTGAAGAGAGATGAAGACTAATATCCAGAGGAGGGAGAGAGTTCCATAATCGAGGCATGCGATTGAAGTAAAATATTTTTTCGTTATAGTTTCTGGAAACTGTGTGTTTAAGCTTAAAATTGGAGCTTGAGCGAGTATGATGAGCACTGAACTGCACAAAATCGAAAATGTTGAAGTGGTCCGATGGATACCTCACAGACTTGATGAAAAATATTATGTCAGCAATTTCTAGTTCCATCATCAAAGGTAACAGTTTAATATGAATTAAACGATTTCGATAGTCCATAGAAGTATCATTCACTATGAACTTAGTCGCCCTTCTCTGATGCCGACATCGATGACCACCTTGTCCAGGGTGAGTGGTGACTGCCCATGATGCCAGCTTGAGGGGCAGCTGAAGATGGGCCTCCTGAGGAAGACCAGGAGCGGCGAAGAGGAGTGATGGGTACTGTGCCGTCAGGGAAGGTGGGGCCGGAGTAGCTGTCAAAGCGGACCATGACAGCGATGGGCAGGTCAGGTGGTCCTCCAGTCCTGTAACAGATGGCCTTGACAGTTCCCATTGCTCCGTTGACGAGGCCAGCATCAACCCAGAGGTTGCTGGTGAGCATAACACGGGCTGACCTGGCCAGGCAGATGACTCCCTCCAGTCCTCCTGCATTGTCAGCTGGGGCCTTGGCTGCATTGGGTCCAGTGTGAACTGCCTTGATGGTGGCAATGGGCTGGCCACTGGCCTGCAGCTGAGCCACGTTGTACTCCACCACAGCTTCAACAGTGGGGATGAGGTGGAGGGAAGTGGAGAAGGGAGAGAGATCCTGGACTCTTGTGGGAGTGCGGGTCATGAGGTGGTTCCAGTCGGCCACTGTTACCTTGGCATCTCTCAGTCTGAGGAGGACGTCTCGGAACTTGACTTGTTCTGGATCCTGGCCTGCCTGACGCATGACTTGGTCCAGGACCACAGCCAGCTGGAATGTCTGGTAGGCAGCTCTCCCCTGGTCAGAGAGCTTGGAGCGAGAGTCGGTGGTGTAGAGGGGAAGGTCCATGACTGCAGGTAGTTGGCCCAAATCTCCAAAGAGAAGACAGGAGCATCGTCCAAAGACATCCTGGGAGTTGTGAGGGAAGGCCTGGCGAAGACGTCTGTCCACCTGGCCGAAGGTCTTACTCCCCACCATCGACATCTCGTCGATGATCAGGTACCTGACTTGTGAGAAGGCCTGCTGGAGCTTGGTGAGTCTCTCACCCTCCAGGTCCTTGAACTCTCCCCTGGTGGGCAGACTGAGGAGAGAGTGGAGGGTGCGGCCATCAATGTTGAACGCAGCCACACCAGTTGGAGCTGCAACTATGACCTCAGGGCCGGAGCGAGCAATTTTGTAGTGGTCAGGCCAACCTTAGCGCGCGCGAAGCGTGCCCACAAGGAGCGTCTGGGGGCATGCTCCCCCAGGAAAATCTTGAAGTTTCTGGTACAATAATATGGCCTCTTGCCGGGCCTACATAGTCAAGTACATACATAGATAACAACTTGAAAAGGGCGCGACGTTAACACTGTCCCCGCTGCGCGGATCCGACGAGAGACAGTTGCCGCGCGCTGCCGCGCTCCACACGAGACGCTACACCCTCTTCATCATCATGCGCAGCAAATCACATAAAAGTAGTCCGGCCGAAACCGGACCGGCCGTACCGGCGACGCCGGCCCTGCGATGCTGGAGGAGAAGTCGGAGACAATGGATTAGGTAGGACTTTCCTGTGCCTGCTGTGCCAGAGACTATCATCCTGAGGGGTTGAGGATTTTTATTTTTATTTTTTATTATTATTTCAGCTTTACAACACAGGTAGGAGGTGATGCCATAAAGAAGTGTGACAGATGACATGGGAGGTGGTGACAACTGTGTTGAAGGACTGAAGGCATCAAGCCAGCAGCCATAAAAATAAAAATAAAATTACACAGAATAGGACATAACATGGACAACATTTAGATAAAACTAGCATTGAGATGGGAAGCTTAGAGCATTTTTGGCATGGACAGACATAGTGATAGGAGCATACATTATCAGAATCAAAGTGTGAGATGAAATGAATCCAAAAGAAGTTTCGCAGTCTAGACTTGACGGTAGCAATAGGGAGATTAATGTCAAATGATGGTAGAGAATTCCAAAGGCGGGGAATACGATTGAAGTAAAAATTTCTCTCAGACTGGTTTTTACAAAAGGAGTGCCTTAGCTTGAAATGAGAGGATGAGCGTGTAGGGTTGTCACAAAATTTGACATAATTGAGTATATTGAAGTGTTCGGAGGAGAATTTTAGGGACTTGATGAGAAAGATAATATCAGCAATTGCCTGAGTTGTGCTGCTGAACGATTGTGTACACCCACTGCTGCTTTCCCTGCAGGTTGGCTGAGTCAGCTGTGGTGGTGAAGATGTGTTGTCCAGCTGCCTGTCTCTGTTGAACTATGAAGGACGGAGCCTCATCGATGTTGGGGTATGACTGTGCAGCAAGGGTCCAGTCAATATCCTCTTGTGTGTCCATGCTGGGCTGCATGCCTGCATTCTGGCGACAGATCAACATCCACTCTTCCGTTGCTTGTGATGGTGGAGTAGTGGTTCGCTGTTCCTCTTGCTCCTATACAAATGAAAAGCACTAAAGTGCAAACCCTCGGCGAACTGCGCATGCGCGGTAGCACTAATTGATGGGCTGGGCTTTGTATCTTTACTCGCGGTATCCCGCTAGTAGCTCGCGGAGAGTCTGACACGGGCTAGGTATAGTAGTAGATAGCAAGCGGGTGTCGATAAACGCCCTTCGTTGTGACTTCTTGTGCCTGCAAGATACACAGAGCGAGCGGACGCGGTCGAGGTAAGCCTGCGTTAATTTGCATATTGGCTTGTTCACTTGCTTTTCACGCCATAACTTTTGAACGCAGTTGTTATACGAAAAACGCCTTTTTTAAAATGAAGCCAGTGTAGCGAAGAACCCGTTGGTATCGCTATTTTGTTATGTCGTTGCGCGTAGTCGCAGAAAACGTGGTAACAGACAGACTGACAGACTGACTGACTGACAGACACACTTACGGGACAACTACCGTAACCCTCGCTGCGCATGCGCGCCGAGGGTTAACAAAGACGCGACGAACTTTACTGTTATATTTACATGTAAAAACTGACCTCAGTTTCATCTTCATTAACCCTCGGCGCGCATGCGCATGCGCAGCGAGGGTTACGGGAGTTGGTTTGTCTGTCTGTCTGTCTGTCTGTGTGTGTGTCGACGCTTGTCTGTCTGTCTGTGTGTGTGTCGACGCTTATTCTGGCACTACAGGCTACGAGGCGGCCTATTAGCGATACCAGCGGATTCAGAACTACGGGAGCCTGAAAAATTATTGTGTTCGAGAGATATGCCGTGAAAACAAGCGAAAAAGCCAAATCGCACCTTGGGGGCTCAGGAAGTCACAACGAATGGCATGTATCGACTCCCGCATGCTATTTACTACTGTAGCTAGCCCGTGTCTGACGCTCCGCGGGCTACTAGCGGAAGACCACGCATACAAATAGCCGGCCCAGCCCATCAATTTGCAGTATCGCGCATGCGCAGTTTGCCGAGGGTTTGCACTTTAGTGCTTTCATTAGTATGTAAGTGCTGAAGAAGGCGATACATGTCATCCTCCAGGCAGGGAGGGATCTGGCTAGACTGTAGAAATGCAGCACAGGCATTACTGTAACTGTCATACCCAGAGAGTAGGTCGTCCATGTGGCGAAAAGGCTTGTGCTGCATCAGTGACTGGCGGCAGTACTGTTCATACTTCTCCCCATCAGGATCTGGTGAGACGTATGGTCGAGGGATGACGACAATACGTCTACTCCTGGGAGTCGGCCCAGCCCCGAGGGTCTTGGGCATAAAGTACTGGCAGGCAAACTCCAGGAGGGTCATGGGGTTGAAGTGAGGGGAGTCAGGTCGTCCCATGTAGTGGTCGACAATGGAGAGTGCTGTTGCACGCTGCCCCTCGTCCAGGTGGTCCTGAACAGCACGAGACCCATCGAGGCTGAGGATGATGAAGTCACGTGATGCCTTGAACATCGGTAACTGCAGTAGTAGGTGGCAGGTCTCCTGGACAGAGTAGTCTCTCTCTCCAACAGTGTTGATGAGGAGCTTCTGGACTGCCTTGAGAGAGTTGTTGCCTTCTCGGAGACCACGGACGATAGTGGTGAAAATCGCCTTGAGTGACTGAGATCGTGGCTCACTCTTGGTGACGTACTTGGTGCAGTACTGCAGGACTCGGAGGGAGACAATGTACTGCATGTCCACGTTAGCTCGCCATGCAGACAGCTGGACTGGGTTGAAGCTGTTGATCATCCCGTCGTTCCTAGCTGTGAGGAGAATTGGTTCATCCTCGGTGACGATGGCAGTGTGAGGCTGCAGGGGCTTGGGGTAGCCAAAGCGGCACTCCTGTTTGCCATGCTTCATCCTTAGGCAGTAGGAGGCAGAGCAGCGAGTGTGTCACTGGCAGGTGGCCACCAGATCAGCCAGGTCCTGGTCAAAATCCTGAATGTCCCCAAATGGCTTGTTGCAGATGTGGGGATCAATCTTTGGAGCCGGTGTATTGGCAATGTTGCTGCCATCTGGGAGGACGGCAGGGTTGGTGGTTGAGACGAGCTGGTCAGCATGCCTGATGATCTCTGCATGGAGTGT